TATTCTAGCTTTTATTGAACTTTAAAAACCAGCACTTCAGTTAGGATGGCTGGGCTACACTCTATCTACCAAGAAAATTAAGTATTATCTCAGGGCCAAGTAAATATACAAAGAGGTTATATTTCTTGACCATGTTCAAAGAATGTATTAGATGATCTGACTAATAATTAAGTCAATGTAGAGAACACGCTTGAACAGTTTAGGCAAAACATCCAAATGAAAGACTTTGACTTTGTTTGGATTGTTTGTATCAAGCAAATTGTCAACAAATAGATGACTAAAGGTGACCCAGGTCCCTTGAATAGTAACTACATTTCCCAGTAGTTATGCTTAGCTTACTTATTTAATTGCTAATTATATAATTACCCTAACCTAACCCCAGTAGATAGCAAGTAGCAGTTGAGAATAAGAAAGAGATTCTTTACCTGGGCTCTACAGAGTTCATAAGTAGGCTTTATTATATCCAGAAACTTGATCAAAATGGTCTCTATATGTTCAAACAATACTATTTATGCATGGAGAAATATCTATGAGATTACACACTAAATTTATAACTGTGGCTAATTTAGATGACATGGTAGGAAAAAGAACTTCAGTCTTAATCCTATTTAACCCTTTGAAATGAGAATTTATTTATGAATTACTTACATAATTAAAATTAATTTTAAAATGAGGTATAAATATACAACTGTAATTTTTTCTTAGGATGGGGCAGTGTTTTTATTTCATGCTAAAGGATATGAACCCCTTGTGTTACCTATTTTGACTCTGGTGAATAATGATATATTATCTGGTCAGAGACTCACTAGCTTCAAATTTTGTACATTTGCAGTAATTGTTTGAGGGATTTCTTTCACTTCATTGTTTTGTCTTTTTCCTCAAATGAATTAGACAGATTTTAATATTAAAAATAGTACTTTGGAGCAGCTATCATTTATATAGAGCACATCCTTTGTCCTGCTATGGTATGGATCAGAATACACAGTAGGCGAATTTCACCACAATCTTAAAACTGGCTCAGTTGTTGCCATGGTGAACCAGGAGGCCACATAACAGGTATGTGCCTTGACTATGCTATACATTCCACTCACCTACATGATCAGATTTATTAAGCAGATACAGTTATGATATACATATCAAGTATGCTCCAGAAAAATAAGCAATAAAATTACTCAACTTTATATGATTTAGATAAGAAAAATTTTGAATATTGTAAAAGACTATGTTTATATGCCAACAAACAAGGCTTAGAAAATCCTTTTAATATATTTAGTTTGTAGAATGATTATCAGATATACATGATGGAATTTAGCATGGGATGTATCAACTACAATTCAGAATCAGATGTTGTTCTGGGCACCATCATCTGAATCTCTAGATTTCCAACTGCCAACCTAGAGCAACAAAGTACATTTCTCTTGGCTCCATGAATCTGTGTGCTGGTAAACACAGTCCGTTCCCATTATAGATGATGCACTGGAGACTGACAAAAGTGACCATCACACAGCAACCTGGAAACATAGACTTGTCTATGTAACTCTCTGCTAATAAATCCTACACATCAATTATACTTCACATGTCTATGTCTTTTCCAAAGCAGCTTACTCAATGGTTCATTCATTGTTATCTAACAGTTATGTCTTCTCTTATGCTTTTAATGAGGTGACTATATCAGCTATAACAGAGAATCAGGAAGAGTAACATGTTATAAAGGCATTTCTAGTTCTCTGTCTCTATGGAATTATAGTGAAATGATTTTTTTCCTTCTAAATGTCCACCTCCTTTAAACTGATAACAGAAGCACTCTGCCTGATTATGAGATAGTAACTGAAAGTAATCTGTATAAGCACCCATCTCATGGATTTTAAACCCTTTATGTTGGTATAATTTTATTTGGAAGCCATTTAAAAATTTAAAAATATTTTGGGGGCATATAATCAAAATAGTTATCTGAATTCTTAGTGCACTTGACCTAGATAAAAATCTTATTATGTCGGGTTCCATATATAAGAAGTAGTCTTTTCAGAGTATAGTTTTTATTTCCATTGACTTCTAAAATTTAAGTCAGAAATCTTATAATAATGGTATTAATGTGCTGAAAAAAACTTCTGATGATAGACTATGGTTACCCTGACAGGTTATTATAAAATACCAACCTTTGTCCATAAATAATACAGATTTTTAATTCACAAAATACCAGGGAGAGTTATAATTTTATGTCTAGTTTTCCTTTGCATCTCCATGGAGTCTTTTTTAGAAAATAAGAATTGTCATTATTATTATTTATTTATTTATTTTGAAAATATGAAGAAATAAATCCATTGCCTTGAACTGGAAAACAACCTCCCAGGATCTGGCCCCAACCATGCCTCATGTCTCCCTCACACACCTAAGCCCCAGAGAACCAGAGGAACCTCTCCCTGAAACATAGCCCGCCCTGCCCCAGGTTTTGCCTTCATCACGCTGCCCGAAAGGTTTTCCTTCTCTCACTCTTCTCTGCCAGTCTGTGCACCCAGTATTAGCTGCTCACATTTACTAGGTGCTTACTACATGCTGTGCTTTTTACTAAGAGCCTATTTCACCTGTGCTTCTAACGCACTATTTTACAATGTATGAGGAATCTTTGGCTAGTCACCCAGATAGTAAATGGTAGATCTGGGATCTGCACCCAGGTAGACTCCAGATTTCATTACTCAACACTGTGAAACATTAATTCCAAGTCTCAATAAACTTGCAAGATCAAGAGAAGAATAATTGTTTTCCCATGGATGTTTCATGGGTCACCCCCACCTCTCTTCCCTTTACCTGCCCCTGTATCTTTCTGAGGCCAAACTCTAACTGGTCAGGGATACAGTTTCCTCGACTAGGCATTCTGATCCATCTTAATAGCCTTTGTGTTCAACAGTAAAATGCCTTGCACATGGCCATCCCTCTATAAATGCTGGTTCTATGAATTCATCATTGACAGAATTAAGAGATAATTCAGACTCTATCAGAAATGACCTCTGAAAAATAATTAAAAAATCAACTTAGCAAGCTTATTTGATAAACAACCATCACAACTTGATATTGAATCCTTCACAAATTTTCTTTTTAAACTTGAGTTTATAAAAGTAGCCAACTGTGTGAGCATTCTAGTTTCAAATCCATTCATTCAATCACAGGCAAGTGTTTTTTTTAAATTTTACTGAATCAGACAATAGAATTCAATACTATTGTTCTAGAACCACAGGTGAATTTTGGTTACTCTAAAGAACCAGTTAAAAATGGAAACAATTCTTTATGATAATGACTGTATATATTACTGTTTTATTTGCTTTTCACTGAGCTGATTCAAGATGTTCATTTTCTGTATATACACATATATCAACTCATCTAGATAATAGTGAATAGTTTGGGAAGAGAGATAAAATCATTTAATTACTTTTCTTACATGATGTCAAGCAGATGCAACTTTTTTTTTTATTCCTGAAGATAAATGGGATATTTCAATACTATTTAGAGATAACCTAAGTTTATTCACTCAACCTCTTACCTTTCAGAGGGAAAGTGATTTGAAAAGTGAGGTTTCTCCCTCATAAGCCACCAAAATATCACATTTTCTTCCCCTTTCTTTAAATGTTGACATTACATTTCATTTTGACAACTGAAAGAAGTTTTAGAGCCTGGCTATTTCTGTTAAATAATAATAATAACTACAGCTCTTAAAATAATATAAGATGTAAAATCAGATTTAAGATTTGACTTTTAGGCTTTCTTAGTTAAGTTTAAAATATGCATTATTAAAATTCCATAATAAAGAAAGGTAATTATTCAGAGGTTGGTGGTAACTTATTGAATTTAGAACAAGGATTCTTGGAAGAATTCAGCGTTAGAATTGAGCACCAGTTTTCTTTTAACTTCTGCAATTTAAAAACATTCACTTCACTTTGAAAAATTAAAATATTAAATTTTCTAAAACAGAATTATGCTAATTTTAAGAATGCTAGAATTTCTCTCAAAAGTGAACTACTTTGAAATAATTTTTCTTGACCTCATACATGATCTTTTTTGTTTTTGTTTTTCAGTGACTGAAAGCACAAGTAACTAAGCCATGATTGTTAATTACACCTATTGATGATCAGGGATAGAATAACATCCTATCCGATTATCTAAAGTAAGAGGGAGCTAGAGACCCAGAAGGAGACGGCAGCTTTCTAACTCAAAGGAGAAAGTTGATTTCCACAATACTAGGAACAGTGCTGAGTAGTCTTATTGATTCTCGATGGAAGGAATGGGTCCCTCAGGCTTTCCTGGCCAGTCACCTCAAGCAAATAAACAAGCAGCTCTTCGGGTCAGCCTCCTGACCTAGAGAAAATGATGACATTTCCTCCTAGCCTTAGCCACTCTCTGAGCTGAGCACCTCTCCAGTTAGACCGTTGATAAATACCGTGCCATTTGCTGTTCAACGCACTGCCTGGAACTTGCGAGAGAGTTTTTAGACGTGAGGTACAGAAAGCTAGCCAGGCACCGTTCCGGGCAGCGATTCCCGGGACGAAATGCGCCTTCCTCGCTCCCGCCACACTTCTCCTCTTGTCCCATTTCTCTCGCTTGCCCCCTGCGTCCTCAGCAGCAAACGCCTAACTCTATCCTCGCCGGTCCCGGCACCAGACAGCGCTCTAGCGTCTGCATTCAGAGGCCCCTCCTCGCAGGCGCGAGAGGCTGCGCCGCCCTTGGCAGGCGGGACCCCCGGCACCGCGGGGCGCCACCTGCCCCCTCCCCAGCCCTGAACAAAGGCGGTTCATTTGGTCTCCAGCCAAGGAGAGGGGAAAGGAAAAACACTTGCTGGGCTCAACAAAAAGGCGACATAAAGAGGCTCAGCGGGCCCGGGGAGCCCGGGCAGGCCGGGGAGATTCACGGCCCCCTCGCCTCCCCGGGGAGGGGTGCCTAGCGCGCGCGGACCGTCGCCCTAAAGAGGTAAAGAGTGAAATGGCTCAACGTACACACACCCCGCTCCATACCGGGGACGAGTCTCCGAGCTGCGGCTTGTGCTGTCGGAGGGCCAGGCTGAAGCTGACCGCCCCCACGGCCACGCTGGACACCCCCAGCCCTATCTCCAGCACGGAGAGCACCAGCAGGCTCCCAATAATCTGGCCGCTGGTGCACATCCTTCCTCGGGCATCATTCCTTCCAGATCAGAGCGGGAAACCGACCATCCGCCTTCTTTCTTCCACTCTCCTCCTTCCCCCCCACCCCTCTTTT